GTTAATGAGCAACGTAAGTTGGTGATGTGTGAGGATGTGATAATAAGATGTGTTTGGGACTGTAACCAAGGTTAGGGGGGAAATGATTATGTTTCTGTCTGTGCCGCTAGCGGGTGCTAAGCTAAGCTAAGCTAAGCTAACTTTCCTGCCGTGTGGTTGGGCATAGCTGTGTACCTGGTTAGCTCTCTCAGGGGGTCTATGTGTGAGTCGTGGGTAATATATGGCCTATGGTATTAGAGGGGATGTTAGTTTATTTCCCGCCTGTGTTTATGTTGATGTACTCTGGAGATATTGTTGTGAACACTTTAGTAATGTAGTATTTTCTTTCTGTTCCGTTCAGGGACCACACACACACATCCATGCCCACGCACCTAAACCTGTATGCGATACCTGCTCCTCTGACAACCTCTGTTACCTTCAACTGTGTGAAGTCAATACGAGAGTCTGCACTATCCTCGGTGTCTTTATTGTCTCCCTTCTGAACATTCATCCGGGCCTTGAGCAGTGTTCTGGCCGACACTCCGGGGAGTGGTAGCTGCAAACTGAACTAGCACCTTACAGTCCTTCCAGTACAAGCTATCTATCCAACATTAATGGTCCTTCGAGCCGGATGTAAGCTGCTTCTACCCTAACAAGATGGATGATATTCAGAACTTCTCAGCTCTTGGTGCGCGCCCACGGCGTAATGTACGGCGTCCCCTCCGCTATGAAGCTTATGAGACTGACTTCCCCGGGCTTGGTGCAGGTTACCAGGAGGAAAGTGAGACAGGAGGCGACACCCGTTCTTCCCACCATCCTCCGTCTGACCCCTCTGATGACCGCTCACACGGCCATGTCACACCATTGAGAGCAGAGTTAGAAGATATACAGCGTGAAAGGTTCCTGTTCCAGCAGTCGCATGACGAGATGAGAGCCGGGCTGGCTAATTTCCAGGCCCTTCATGCTAGTTTGCTGCAGTTGCTGGACCGTGCAGAGAGTCTGCAGCTCAGTCCACCGCCCAGAGCCCCTGCTGTTCATCTCCAGCCACCCCCTGCTGAAGAGGAAGAGGACTGGCCTCCACCACCTCCTCCTGTTGTGTTCAAGGAGGAGTCTGTCTCCAGCCAGGGTCCAGTTGCGGACCGCATCGATACGATGCTGAAAGAGCTCCAGGATCTGAAGAGGGAGTCTATGGCTGCACAGGAGAGTCAGATCACCCCCCTACATGAATCTAGGCCAGGGTTCACTTCTCCTCAGCCAAGGATCACCTACCCTCCAGCGCCGCCTCCGAGAGCACACCCCCCTCCATTGCAACCACTGCCAACTCCACCCCCGTCCTCATCTACTCCTTTCTTGACCTACAGGGGGCCTCGTCCAAGCATTCCCAAGCTCTCACGCCGTGATCCTGGGGAATTTGCTCGTCTAAAGATGGCGCTAGAGAACTTATTGCCCCCGGAGAGTTCAGAGCTCTTCAGGTACCAAGTCTTGTTAGATCACCTACACCTGGAGGAAGCAAAGTTGATAGCGGACGCTTACCTCCATTCTGCCACGCCCTTCAGTGACACTATGAACGCTCTTAACGACAGGCTTGGGCAGCCCCACCAGCTTGCCCTGAGAAGGATTGCTGCTGTCATGGACTCACCTGACATCCGCCGAGGGGATGCAGCCGCATTTGAGCGATTCTCTCTCCACATCCAGTCGCTCGTGGGCATGCTGAAGACTTTAGGCCCTGATGGGGAGGTCGAACTCCAGTGTGGCTCCCATGTGGCTCGACTCCTTAGTAAGCTTCCTTCAGAGCAAAGGGCTGATTTCCGTCGGTGCATGTACAACCATTCTGGTCAGGCTTACACCCTGGACGACCTGGCTACCTGGTTAAAGTACGAATCCTGGTGTCAGGACTATGACGGCTTGCCCACTCCAGCGATCACCAGAGAGAAGCCTGATGTCAGACCAAGCAGACGCTCTGTTGCGGTTCTTCACAGTGGAGAGAGCTCACCCAGGTCACTAGGTACCACTCCAAACAAAGCTAGGCAGCAACCCTACTGCGCCTTTTGCGATAACCGTGCCCATCACCTGAGTCAGTGTCAGGAGGTCATCAAGCTGAGTCGCGAACAACTCACAGACTGGATAAAGACTAACAAGAGGTGCTGGCGTTGCGCACGCTCCCATCAGGCAGCACAGTGTACCCTCAAGAAACCCTGCAGCCTGTGTCAGGGTCGTCATCTGCAGGTCCTTCACGACGTGAATTCGAAGTCCTTGAAGCCACATGGCCCAGTGTCTGCTCCCCCACGAGAAGGTGAGAATCCTACGGGCGTCCTGTACCTCGATCGTCCTACAGAGAGCGGCCAAGTCCTGTTAAAGGTTGTCCCAGTCATCCTTCACCATAATGGCAAGACTTTGAGCACTCACGCAGTTTTGGATGATGGGTCAGAGAGGACTATGCTGCTACCCACCGCTGCCCAGAAGCTTGACCTTCAAGGCATTCCAGAGACACTTCCATTGCGCACTATCAGGCAAGATGTGCAAACGCTGTATGGATCATGTGTCTCATTCGAGATCTCCCCTGGTGGCAAACCTGGCTGAAGTACAAAGTCCGCAACGCCTTCACCGCCACCCGTATCGACCTAGCCGAGCACAGCTACCCGGTGGAGTCCTTGCAGCGGAAGTATAGACACCTCCGAGGCCTGCCTCTCCAGTCCTTCAAGAAGGTCAAACCTCTCCTTCTGATTGGCAGTGACCACCCACAGCTCATCACTCCAACTGAAGCTGTCCGTCTTGGTCCACCGGGCGGTCCCGCCGCTATGCGCACCAGGTTAGGGTGGACACTACAGGGTCCCTCCAGCCTTATAGGTTCCTCTTCGCTGCCACAACAGTGCCTCTTCACGACCGCCATTCCTCCCCAGGTGAGTGAGCTACTCAAACATGTAGAGAAGCTATGGCAGGTAGATGTTGTCCCGGTGCCAGAAGGCAAGGTGGTTACCCGTTCACGAGAAGATAACTATGCAGTTAGCCTGCTAGAGCAGAAGACAGTTCGCGTAGACGTCGAGGGCATCCAACGTTATGCCACCCCCCTCCTTCGCCGCGAGAACATGCCACACCTTAAAGCTAGCCCTAGTGCAGTCGTTCCCAGTTTGAGAAGTGTGGAGAGAAGGCTCCAGAAAGATCCAGAACGAGCTATGGTCTACCGGGCGGAGATAGAGAAGTTGGTCCAGGCCGGTTCGGTGGTTAAGGTGCCCCCCTCTGAGGTTGCTCAAGCAGATGAGTCATGGTACATCCCTCACCACCTTGTTAGCCACAATGGCAAAGATCGCCTTGTGTTTAACTGTTCGTTCCAGTTCCAAGGCCAAGCCCTCAACGAACATCTTCTACCTGGGCCCACCCTGAGCGCATCGCTCCTTGGTGTCCTCCTTCGCTTTCGAGAGCATGCCGTAGCCATCAGTGGGGACATTAAAGGTATGTTCCACCAGATTCGCCTTCTTCCCGAAGATCGTTCCCTCCTGCGGTTTGTGTGGCGGGATCTGCACCCCGAGGAACCGGTGGCCGTTTATGAATGGCAGGTCCTCCCCTTCGGTACAACCTGCAGCCCATGCTGTGCAACCTTCGCTCTGCAGCACCACGCCAGGGACCACACGGAAGGAGATGATCCGCTACGTCACTCTGTGGGACAGTGCTTCTATGTTGATAACCTTCTCCAGAGCGTGCCGACCCCTGAAGAAGCCCGGGACCTAGTGGACAGGCTAAGAGCCCTCCTGTCTTCTGCTGGATTTGTCCTTCGCCAGTGGGCCAGTAATGAACCCAGCACCATTGGCCACCTACCTGAAGACCTCAGATCCACAAGTGCAGAACTTTGGCTCACTCAAGACAAATCAGACACCTCTGAGCCAACTCTAGGCCTTAGCTGGCACTTCCCCACGGACACCTTGGGTTACAGACACCGCAAAATCAGTTATGGCGCCCCCACCATGCGGAATATTTATAAGGTTCTCGCAAGCCAATACGACCCACTTGGCTTTATCCTACCGTACACCACCCGAGCCAAGATGCTGGTGAGGCGCCTTTGGGATCAACAGAGGGGATGGGATGACCCGCAGCTTCCGCCAGAACTACTCCAGCAGTGGAAAACCTGGGAAGAGGAATTGCTGTTCCTTGCACAAGTCCTGCTTCCTCGCCCGTATCTCCCAAAGCACATCATGGAGGCAGTTAGTGAGAGAGAGATTCACATATTCTGTGATGCGTCAGAGCAGGCTTATGGCGCGGTGGCCTACATGAGAACAGTGACAGGGGATGGCAGCTCACATCTAGCCTTCCTGATGGCTCGCTCCCGTGTTGCCCCTAAACGCATTCTCTCCATGCCCAGACTTGAGCTGTGTGGTGCCCTCTCCGGAGCTCATCTTTCCCGTCTCCTTAAAAATGAGCTCACTCTGGACATAAAGAGAATAGTGCTGTGGTCTGACTCCACAACTGTACTCACCTGGTTGAGGTCCCAGTCATGCCACTTCAAGGTCTTCGTCGGCACCCGCGTGGCTGAGATCCAGGAATTAACTCACTCGCACACCTGGCGCTATGTGGACTCAGCCCAGAACCCCGCAGATGATATAACCCGGGGGAAGTCCCTTCTCGAGCTGACCAGACCCAATAGATGGAGTCAAGGGCCTC